GGACATGATAGATTCTTTAACTAAAAATACCTTTTTAAGACGAAATAAAATGTCAAATCACAAACCGAATCAGCCCCTGAAGAGTGTGTTCGTTCTCCGTCATTGAATTCATTCAAGGTGGCTGTATTTGTCGTTGACTGAATTAAATTATTTTTTGGGGTAAGATTATTGTGAAAGTCTTCATCGGAGACTGATGTGATTTGGAGAATCGTTGAAAACCTGAAGAAAAACAGTGGACAACTATTTCGTCCAATTATGAGGCTACTGCATAGTGAATACCTGCGAATGTGTGAGGATCAGAATCCACAATCATCACGTTTCATAGTAAGCACGTTGCTGTACACCGACTAAGTCAAAATACAATGGTCCACATTTTATAATTTCCGTTGATTTTAGACATAAAGTAACTACCATCTGATGACATCGGTAAGCATTGATCAGGCAACCAGACTTTGTCAACACCATGAATTATAAAGAAGAAGACTGCTAGATTCCAAATCAATAGGCTTACACTGGTATCCAGTAGGCCATGACGCTGTCCTTTATGAGATCGTGGTTATGCACTGCTGAGAAGTACCTAAATAAGTCAAAACAGGTATAAAAAGCTTCCAAGTTTTCTGAATGATTAAGCCGAATAAGTAAATAACTATTTTAATAGTTTATTTTAATACTAAGTTTTATCTCTCGAAATAAGGAGATTTTACAGCCTTTTGCTCAAAACTTAGTTGTTTGTTTTGATTTCAAACAAGTAAGTTGAAAAACCTACAGTTGTTTGTCAGTTTAATAAAGCTGAAATAGTGTAATAATAATCAGGCTAGCAGAATCAGACAGAATGTCTAAGCTGACTGGGACCCGCTCCTGGATGCTACATTCAAATAATAATAATAATCATTCACTTTATTCCAAACAAGTTGTGGTATGATTTGGTATTCTCAGCATGATATATTGAAACAACAACAAAATATATGGATATATATACCCCTTTACAACATTTTCAATTGTGGTATCACAAACATTTAAGTAATGTAAAGAAAACTAATAACGAGACAAGTTTACACTGTTAATTTAAATTATTAATATGACACTAATAACTATTACAAAGTTGATATGTGAGTTCTATTCTAACACTTTTCTGCTCACATAATATGCATGTTAGATAAGACACAGTCGAATTCTTGAACTTAACAGCACGAGTGTACAGTCTCATGTAATTTCCACTTGTCCACCCTGAGAAGATATAAAGAGACAGTTGTGAATGAAGCGTTAATCAGTTGGGGCAGAGGCACACCACTCACTCTACTGACTGACATCTTTCAAAGCCCCACAAAATATAACACACTCCTTTTCTCGCAGACCAGGAAAGATCAACGGGTACAAATAGAGAGGAATAGGTAAGATGCAGGAATAAATAAATTGTAAAAGGAGAGGTTGAGTTTCACCAGAGAGCCTCAGTTTCTTCATGTTATGTGTTAAATAAAAGATACTTTTACAAGTCAATAAGATATAAGATAACCAACGAAGATCAGGAGTAAAACTCAATTTAAGATAGTTAAGACTTCATTCACTTCCTGCACAAATACCATCAATGCAACAGGCATCATGGAACATAAACAGCTCACAAATCTTGTTTACTCCTGAGGCTTAAACTAATAGTCTGACATTTGAAGGGGTTTAACTTGAGACCATTTGAGAGAGACCATTGGCCAACAAGAGACAAAATCCATTTATACTCATTAAAATGACTAATAATTGCACTAAAAAGTTGATGAATCAACGTACAAAATATACAATTGGCGTTGGCTGTGGTATTTGTTCAAGGGGAAGAAATAGAAAATGGGTCAATGAATAAGGAATGAATTTACATTAAATAGTGAAATATAGGTCAAATGTTGTCAATGTAGTGAAAACTGATGATAATAAAAGAGAAGTTTACCAAAGTGAAGTGAAATGAAATTAACAAAATGACGAAAATGAATTATTAAGGCCATGGTAGAGAAAATGGCTTCATAAAACGTTTCTGAATGTAAAGTTTCGATTTCTTTTCATGCATAGCTAAAGCTTCAGCTGTGCATAAGAGTAGTTCAATTTAACTTTGTAAATTTTCTTAAAGGATGAATCTTGAGGTGCGAAATGACCTAATTGAAAAAGGTATTGACGTATGGATGATGTTGTTTTCCTTTGCTTTCCTTTGGTAATTCATACCGGGTAATGTTCAGCAACAGATGTCTGGAGAGCCCGCTAACAATGACCAATGTAGTCAGCTCAATAGGAGCATGTCACTTTGTAGATACACTTAGATGTGCACAATAAGTGGAAGCCTATCCTTCATGCATTGACGAATAAGACGGCGGCTGGAGAATACCAGCCTCAGCCCAACAGCATAGAAGCTAATATTGATTTATCTTGACAGACGAGTTTTGAGCACTTCGGCTGTGGTGTCTTCTTTGAATTCTAGATTCATGGTTAAAATTTTCATAGGGACTGTAATGGGATGGGGGTGATTGCTTTCTTCAGATTCTTATCTTCTGAACATATTCTATAGATTGTGGAACACAGTGAGTGAATTAGATTTCTCTTGCAACTAAGACGTACCCAACTATTAAAGTTAGTGAAACGTCCAGTCCAAGTTGGTTTTCGATAGACTGATCTATGTTTACCTTTTCCATTCTTATGTATCCTATTCAACTGATTTACCCGTTTCTTAAGTTTTTATATATATAGTTCGACAAGTCAGTGTGTAATCAAATTGTTCGAAATGGATAATAGTAAAACATTACACATTATGGTATTTAAGCTATGAATTATTCAAATAATTTCAACCTGATAATTAGGTCAATTTGACGTCTTTCCGGTAGATTAGTTAGGCTGAACTCTAATATAGTAACCGATATGATTTTTTTTTCTACACTTTTCTGAAAAGTTTATATTTCCTGTTGTAAATAACCTGTGAACCTAAATTTTAAATAAGGTGGACAAGATAAATGGTAATGATGAAAGATGGAAAATGTTCGATGCATCATTCACATTTATGGCCAAAACAGTCAGAAAATAATAATTTTTAAATATTGATATGACAAGAAATTAGACATCAAGAATACCTTGAGTCTCAATAATTACCTACCTAAAATTTATAAATAAATTCATACGAAATAGAAAGAAAATATTTACAACAGTAGTACCAGTAGTAGTAATACAGGTGTTATTACTAGTAATTTTACTACTACTAGTAATAATGGTAACAGGGTTGAGAGAGAATTCAAAACCCTTACTATGTTGCTATGCAAGGAAGGCAACTTAGAAGCATTAAGAAGAATTCTCAATAAGGCTGACTGGGATTAAAATGGCATTCAAATTAACAAATTCGCTTAGAAACAAGCTTTGTACGTTGAAAGATCCTATCGATGCAATTAAGCAAAATAATCTGGTTTACCAAATCCATTGCAACGATTACGAGGTCAAAGTATTCTACCAGAGGTGGTAAGAGTAACAGCACAAAACTTAGTTGAATCAAGATTAGCAGATCCTAATAATTCAAGTTGTTGTTCATCGTAGACTGACATCGGTTGGAGGAACAAAGGAAATCTGGGGGCACTGGATAGCTGTTTCGTTCTAGAATGGGACTACTCAGCAGTGCAAACCCACGACCTCACCCTCCAGGGATCGAATCCACGAACTTCAGGTCCCGTGGCCAGCGCTTTATCATTGAACCACTGGGTCAGAATCCAGTGCTCCATATTTCCAACTTCTGTTAGCTCACGATATAGTGCAACCGCCACCCAATGTCATCGCTGAGTATCTGTCCTCACGACCATCAGGCTTTGCCCCCACCTGTCACGACTTCTCATTGGAACTTCGGGAATAGTTCTCGAAGCTAGTCACCAGTGAGCACCAGTTCAATTGAATTTTGAGGGAGTTGTGGGGATTTGGAAATATTTCAAGTTGTTATTCATTGTAGACTGACATCAGTTGGAGGAACAAATGAGGAGTCCCATACTAGGATGAAACAGCTGTCCAGTACTCCTAGGTCTCCTTTGTTCCTCCAACTGATGTCAGTCTACAATGAATAACAACTTGAAATATTTCCAAATCTCCACAACTCCCTCAAAAGATCCTAATAAGATAAGAAATCTAGAGGACAGGTAGGCTATAGCTCTGCACGCAATTACACATAATCAATCAGTAGGGTGGGATAGAGCGACGGTGTTGAAAACTAAGCAGTTTGGAACAATTAGTCCCTTTTATGAATTTGTACAATGTAATTAGACGACGTAGATTATCTTAAGTTTGTTGAAGTGCTAGCCATAAATAAATTTAACCCCCAATGTGTGTAGAAAAACAGTTTGTCCATACATTAAGCCTACCTTGGTAATGCTTATTTTATCGTATTACCAAGATTGTCTTCAAGTCTTATCTTTTATTTCTCTCATTATCTTTCTTATTATTGAATTCCTTTATGTCATATGTATCCTTCCCCCACTTCCAGTTTTCATATATAATGCCTTAACAAGTAAATGTATGATCAGATTATTCGAAATGTATAGCGCTAATACATCACATTTTTCAGATAAGCTATTTGGTTAGAGGGAGAGATTGATAACCGAATCTCTGTTTATCGAACCAACACTAAATACATGCAATTGAAGTGATTGTGTACCTTTTCCAGATATATCGAAAATTCTACTACCCTTGTCATCACAAAAGAAGCAGAGAAAATTAGGAATATATAAACCATGTCTCAAAGTTGTATAGTTATTTGCCTGATATGAATATGGACAATAAGTTGTGTTTGAAACGTTATCCAGTAAATGTTATTGTTCCTTCACTGTATGATATTTCTAATAAACAGACTGAAATGGAATTAATTGAATTGTATAAATGAATTTCATAGTTCCCAGATCCTATATATATATATATATATATATATATATATATATATATATATATATATATATATATATATATATATATATATATATTTGTTTTTCTTATTACTTGCATAGGTGGTCTGGAATTTACCCCACTGCCTTCATTTCTTGCCTAATACTGATAGTAAGAAGCTTAGCATAATTTTGCGTGGATTATGCTTTGAGTGTGATGCAACAGAAGTAAGCAGTATACAGTCTTCCAAAGGAAATTATAATTTTGATAATTATTATCAACAAGTCAATTTGACCAAGTTCACACACACAGTTTATTTGATCAAGGAGAAAAATCTAGAAAAACACATATTACTTTATATAAAAAAAACACAATCAAGTGAAGTATTTAATTACACTTTAGTAACTTATGACAATCAATCTAGAAAAAAATGTCATAAACAATCACCTACAATGTTGTTGTTCACATTCAATAATCTATACATATGTCAACTTAACTATCATGAACGTATTACATTTAGAAAACAAATTGTTATGTTTACTAATTTCATCTATTCATCATTTTCACAGAATTCTTCCATTATTCAAAGTTATAATATTACTGATATAAATATTCAAGATGATACTATGAATCTAATTTTTGAATCACCTTCAGACTATGAAAAGTGAGTAATTTATTCTTTTTAGACTATTGACCATGAAACTAATTCATTTTTCAAGTTGAATGTATATCTTTTATGCATAATTTTATAATAATACTGAAATTCTAAGCAAAATGTCAAGTATAAGAATTAAGCGAACATATACTTCTACACTATCCCAACAAAAAATATCACTGAAGACAATAAGATCTTCAAATCATAACAAGGTGTATAGCAACAACTTTTGATAGCAAAATGTACGCCTCAAATATTTTACCTAGAGGTTTGTGGAGATTGATTAACTGACTTTACGTTGAATATCATCATGAACTGACGTGATTAAAAGAAACATTAGAAACCGAAGAGCGCTCACTATATAGCTTTTCCGTCCTAGTATAGGACTCCACGGATCGACCCCACGACGTTCAGGTTTCGTGGTCAGGACGTTACCATTTAGCCACTGTATCGGAATCCAATGGTCCATATTTCCAACTTCTGCCAAAGTTATTAACAAAGTGTAATTGGTTGTTCACGGGAGAGCAACCAATTTCATGTTGTCTAGTCTCGAGTGTCGGTCAGGAGTAGACAACATGAACAATCAATACATGTAACACAGTCCTACAGGAGGTCAGTCGCGGCACGAATAGCTCAGCGGTAAAGTTTCTGGCTACAATACTGGGTGACGCGGATTCGAACGTCAGGCGGGATATTAGTTCTATCAAGGTTTCAGATACACCTTGCTGACGAGTTCCAACAAGCCTGAAACATAGGACGAGGAGGGCTTTCTGCTGACTGCCTCCAACTAACATATATTAACTAAGTATTCCCAGACCGTCAGAGATAAGGGATGTACAAATTTCTTTTGTATACAAAGACTAGGATTATTAGCTCGAATTCCCTCAGCTTCTGCTGTGTGTGTGAAAGACAAGTTTGAATACTTTTCGAAAGATGAGATAGTATGCGGTAAATAATTGTGAAAGCTTTGTTCTTATCTACTAAGTGACCACTACCAACGAGGTGAGATGAAACTGAACTTCTGATGGATTTTTCCTGTCCCTTTCCCAACCGTGAAGGTAGAGGCTCAGCAACACATTATTATTATCATCATCATCGTTATTTTATAACATTTATCAAACTAACCGACAAATCTATATGATTGGTTTAATTTTATACATATTTAGCTATTTATAGACGAAGATTATCTGAAAAATGTGATGTATTTGCGCAATACATTTCGAACAATCTGATCACACATTTACTTGTCAAGTCAATTTATATATGAAAATTAAAGGTGAAATATAGTGAATATGAAAAGGTTGTGACACTAGTCTTGGTAATATAATCAAATAAGGATTACCAAGGTAAATTAAGTGAAACAACAAGAAAATGTTTTCTTTTGATGTTAACTCTCTGTTTACAAATGTGCCTCTAACGAAGACAATAAATATTCTTTGCAACCACATATCTTCGAATTATCCTTCTTTCCCTATTCCTTCAACTTATTTGAAAGAACTGCTTTTTTTATGTACTGATAAGGTTCATTTCACTTTCGAAGGTGAACACTTTCGGCAAATTGATGGTGTAGCCATGGGGAGTCCATTAGGACCGTTATTAGCTGATGTATATATGTCACATACTGAACTAATGGCTCAAGATTTAATCACCAATGTCACACTTTATAGAAGGTATGTGGATGATATCCTTGTAATATGTGACACAGATGAGGATGCCAAGAGGTTATTAAAAAGGCTTAATACCGTACAAGATCATATCAGTCTGACATGTGAGGAAGAAAAAGACCATCAACTTGCATTTCTTGATATACTCTTGTGCCGGAGGGAAGATGGATCTATAAGACGATCAATATATAGGAAGTCTACTTGGACAGGACAGTATTTGAATTTTCATAGTTTTTGTCCGATGAAATATAAGAGAGGCTTAGTAAGATGCTTGTTCAATAGAATCCAACGTATTTGTACATCTGATACGATGGATGATGAGAATAAGTTTCTGACAGACACTCTAGTGGAAAACGGTTATCCATTACAGTTTGTCAACCATTGTAAAAAGCAGTTGACCCCAAAGCCTACAGTTTCCTCGGTCCCGAAGAAAAGCATATTTCTTAAAGTACCATACAGAGGGGAAACAAGTAGTATGATATTGAAGCAGAGATTAAAATCTGTTAAAACAAACTATGCAGCTCAGCTTATCATTGTTGAGACGACAAAACACCTGCTTCACCACAAACCTCAACCTCGCACAAATGATTACATCACATCCTACTGCGTTTACCAATTTACATGTATGTGTGGGCACACATACATCGGGAGGAGTAATCGTTCAATGCAGACTAGGGTGGGTGAACACATCCCCAAATGGCTAGAAAAACAGTTTAACACACAAACTTTGATAAGTGCAGGTGACAGACATCCATCGTCATCTATAGCAAAACATATTATTGAAATGAATCACAGGGTTAATACGAAAACAGCGTTTAAGATAATATACAGGAATAATCAGGGGCGTATACTGAAGTTTGCCGAAGCGTTAGCCATTCGTAAACTTAATCCCCCGCTGTGTGTACAAAAACAATTTGTTGTTTCACTTAATTTACCTTGGTAATCCTTATCTGATTAGATTACCAAGACTAGTGTCACAACCTTTTCATATTCACTATATTTGACCTTTAATTTTCATATATAAATTGACTTGACAAGTAAATGTGTGATCAGATTGTTCGAAATGTATTGCGCAAATACATCACATTTTTCAGATAATCTTCGTCTTCTAATAGCGTTATCGAAACTTATTAAAGGGACTGACTGTTTCAAATTAGCTATTTGTGTCAGAGTAAAGCCTTAACAGGATCTAACTGAAAACAATAGTGTTCACTTTTATGTCTTCTAATTTACATGATGGGAATTTTTAAAACTCTTAAGTATTTATTGAACAGAATTAGTATCATTATTACTATTTGTCACTTGGCTTCCTAGTGGAACATAAAGCTTCAGTAACACGTCGTCATTTCATTCTCTTCTCTGAAGTCTTCTCAACCTGGCTCCACCACTGCCCACAAGCTTTCATTTCTTCCTCATACTATCTCCTCCTATGTCATCCTTGGTTGGAACAGTCAACTCGTCGTTTTCCATATGGGTCCCTCCCAATGACCTGGGCTTGCCTGACGCGTGATGACCCCAATCGGTCTTCTCAGTTTATGTCTAGTCCAATCCAATTCATCATCACCTTCTTCTTCTGCATATTTGTTGGGTGATAGGTTCTTGGCTGGTTCGTCGCCAGCTACAGTGAGTTTCTTCTAGCTTATTCTTATTATTCCGGTCATCTCATCTGATCTTCAGTATCGAGTTAGCGTAGGCCGCAGCTGTTCACGATATATATATATATATATCTGCAGTTTGTTGGAAATGCTTTTCGTAACGCACCAAGTCTCTCAACCATTACATAGAAGCATTGACTTGACTGACACTAGTAATGTTGAAAATTGGGATCTTGTTCACGCTTTATACTGAGTGCAGTGGCAATGGAACGGAGTAGATCTACAGACTGTTTTCAGATTAATGAACAGAATATCTATGATAAATGTTATGTCGTCAAGAAAATTACTGCTGTACATAGATTATCAGTGAATCTTAAGGTGACCAGTTCGTGGTGAAATGAGATCGATTTTCGCTAACAGGTCAACTATATATACTACTGGTTCACTAATATGAAATGGATATCATAACCAGAGTGTTTGATACATATACATACATAGATGAATTAAGTTGAAAAAATAGTTTGCTCATCCCATTGGGATATTTATGATTATATTGATTTCTAAATGTTGATGACTTATTTTCCTAAAGTCATAAAATTATTATTCTTCTCTATGGAAATTTTTTTATTTGATGGTATAAATAAGCAGATAAAATTTATCAAAATTACAGGCTTATTGAAACAGTGTGAGCCACATATATATGAGGGTAGAAACTGCATTTCGATTGCCAATAACTTATGAACAAATTATTATTTTGCACATAAGATATTATTTTATGGCAAGAGATCCAGCCTAGGAGAATAAATATTATGTCTTATGAAAACTTTTATGAAGCCTCTAGAAGATGGATATCCTTTGAAGTTTATTAACTGTTTCAGAGGTCAAATAGCACCAAAGCCAACTCCATACACGGTACCTAAGAGAGAGAAGTTGAATAGTATCACTTTGAGACGTAGGCTAATATCAACCATTACGAAAATATATTACGCAGCTAATCTTATTATTATGGAAAAACCGAAACAAATGCTCCACTTAAAGCCTAAAAACTGCACAACTGATTACGTCACATCTCACTGTGTTTACCAATTTACACGTGTTTGCGTGGTCTGACATAAAGAGAGCGGAGAAATCGAGCCATACAGTTGACGGTGGAAGAAAATATATGCAAATGCCTTCAAAATCAAATGCAGTGCGCAACGGTGATAAATGCAGGTGAGAGACGAACCTTTTCACCTATAGCTAAACATACCAGTGAAGCAAGTCACAAAATTAATGGTCAAACGGCTTTCAAAGTTTCTTTCAACTGCCGGATGGCTGCTGCTTCAGCTGGAAGGGTACTCAACCACGGCGCTGGATGAAGAAAGTGCTATCTCAAAAACTGTTAGAAGTATGAAAGTGCGAACCGCTGAACCTTGATCCAGTAGCTCGATGGCAAAGTACTGGCCGTGGAAACCGAATGTCTTGATCTCTGGTAGGGTCATGAGTGCCTACTACAATGGAGTGTCGTACTGAAAGGAAACAGCTGTCCACCGTTTCCAGGTTTTCAGTGGTTCCAAAGATGATATTCATTCGTGGTGAATACCAATCTGAAATCACTAAAATCCCCACAATGCTCCAAATTGAAATTGTTATTTTTACAAGTGTTGCTTTCCACTTTCGTACTGCGTAAACTTAAGCAATACTGTTCGAAATGTTAGCGAATATCGTTATCCCTTCATGGAACCTTCCCCTTCCTTAAGTTGGCTGAAAG